ACAACTTGAACAAAAGAAAGACAATCCCCCATCATTCGCTGGCTATTATCATTAAGAACAGAGGAAGACCGTCAGACAGTTGAAGACTCTTTAATGAAAAAGCACATCGGCTCCACAAAGCAACGAGTCAGTATTCAATCTCAAAGCGCTTGGTCTGGTGCTAGTCCGAGCACAGACACAAACCCAAGTGATGAACTGAAAGATTTAAAAAAACAAATTCAGAAGCTTCAGCAGCAGATGTCAATACTCTTGTCCCAAAAGGCATTACCTGTCACGGTTCTGGATAGGACCCAAATGCAGAGGCAGAGGCAGTAGAATCCAAAAGGTACAGATTTATTTACAAAAGTGTATGGGCAGGCAGGCAGTCTACAGGGCAGGCAGGCAAGCAGGCAGGCAGGCACCGTGGGTAAAAAATCCAGATCTGGACAAAGGAGAAAAAGGTAAGTAATACAAAAATGCAACTGTAGCGATAGAGCCAAGTGCTAAGAGACTGACAAGTGTCAAAGAAGCGACAAACTGGCGAGGAGTGGCTGTAGAGCTGCTCCTTTTGTGCTGGTGCTGATGAGATGAACCCAGGTGAGAATGCAGGTGTGTTGATTGAAGCAGCAGGACTACAGCAGACAAGAGGGGAGGGGGAGGGCACTCCAGGAGCAGATCATGACATTACCCTCAAACCAGGGGCCACGACCTGACCTGTCAAAGCCAACCAGCTACACCCAATCATCAGTCAAGCCAAGACCCTGGTACTGTTTCAGGTGTGGTGAAGATGGGCATGTCTCGTCCTCTTGTACAAATAAGCCCAATCAAAGTCTCGTTGAACAAAAGAAAAAGCAGCTACGCCAAAAACAGCAGGCGTGGGACACAAAAACTGACAAGTCAAACTAGCAGCAGCTCCTGTTAAGACACCCGGAAGCTGCTGAGACCCAAAGTCCCAGAAATACGCAACGCCCAATCATGCTGCCCAGAGGCCTTATTGGAACAAAGAGCACTGGCCAAGTCAGAATAAATGGAACTCTATTCAATTGTCTCCTTGACAGTGGATCTCAAGTAACCACAATACCACACTCGTTTTACAACAGACACTTGGTCGAACACAAGATAAAACCCTTGAACAATCTGTTGGAAGTCGAAGGGGCAAATGGTGAAGCTGTGCCCTATTTTGGATATGTCGAACTCAATCTAACTTTTCCGTCTGAACTCTTTGGAACGGAGACTGAACTGGACACTTTGGCTCTGGTTGTGCCTGATGTCAAGCACTCTAACCCGCTTCTGTTGATCGGGACCAACACATTGGATGTGGCATATCAGAAGCATCTGGAAGCTGGCTCCATTGACCACCAGTCTACCGGATGCGGATACAGAGCCATTATGAAAATCTTGCAGCGCCGGCATGCAGAGACATTTACAAGTAACCCCTTCCTTTTGATACTTTGTTCTGACCAACCAGAGACGATTATGCCAGGCAAAACAACAGTCCTGGAGAGCCAACTCACAACTCGGCTGTTAGAAGATGAGAAAGCTGCGGTAATTGAGCATCCTTCCTCAGTTACCCTTCCTGGTGGCCTCTTTGTTAAACGTTGTCTTGTTGACCTGCCCCAACATCGGCCTTGTTCCCTGCCGGTTGTAGTAACAAACGAGTCAGAACATCCAGTCGTACTCCCTGCTCGAGCAGTTATCGCAGAGATCAGTGCTTTCCAAACCATCATACACAAAAAGCACACTGTGGAAGATCCGGAAATACCAGAGCCATCACTGATCCAATACAACTTTGGGGACTCACCATTGTCGCCTCAGTGGAAAGAGAGACTTGTGTCCAAGCTTAACAGCATATCAGACGTGTTTGCCAAGCACGATCTTGACTTTGGACGGACGGACATGGTGAGACACCAGATAAAGATGTCAGATCCGACACCTTTTAAGCAACGTCCGCGACCCATCCATCCTCATGATGTTGACGCGGTGAGGAAACATCTACAGGAGCTGTTAGATACGGGAGTCATAAGAGACTCTGACTCACCGTTCGCGTCCCCAATCGTAGTTGTTCGGAAAAAAACGGAAGCGTACGCTTATGTATTGATTACCGCAAACTAAACATGCAAACCATCAAGGATGCATATGCCCTTCCGAAGATGGAGGACGCTTTTGCTGCTCTTTCTGGATCGGAATGGTTCACGGTGCTTGATCTGAAGAGTGGATATTACCAGATTGAGATGGATGATGAGGATAAATCGAAGACCGCTTTTGTGTGTCCTCTCGGGTTCTATGAATTCAATCGCATATCGCAGGGAGTCACCAATGCGCCAAGCACATTTCAGCGACTTATGGAAAAGTGCATGGGACAGTTGAATCTGAAGGAGGTGTTGGTGTTCATTGACGACTTAATAGTCTTTGCACCAACACTTGAGGAAGACGAAGACCGGTTAATGAGAGTCCTGAATAGGCTCAAAGACTTTGGCTTGAAGTTGTCAATTGAAAAATGCGTGTTCTGCCAAAAGTCCGTGAAGTATTTGGGCCACGTGGTGTCCCAAGACGGAGTGGAAATGGACCCAGACAAAACGGCTGCACTGAAGTCCTGGCCTGTCCCACTAAACTTGAAAGAGCTGCGGTCGTTTCTGGGATTTGCTGGGTACTATCGGCGTTTTGTGCAAGATTTTGCAACAATTGTCAAACCATTGCATGATCTTACTGCTGGCTATCCACCTGGCCAAAAGAAACTTAAACCGACCATCAAAGCAACAAACTACTTCAATCCAAAAGTACCCTTTGGTGGTCGCTGGACCCCACTTTGCCAGAAAGCCTTCGAGAACATCATTGACAAGCTCACTTCTGCCCCCATACTTGCTTTTGCGGACCCCAACAAGCCGTACGTGCTTCACACTGATGCCAGTTCCAGCGGCCTTGGGGCAGTTCTCTATCAGGAACATGAAGGGACGAACCGTGTTGTGGCATATGCCAGCAGAGGCCTGTCGAGGAGTGAATCAAACTACCCAGCACACAAGCTGGAGTTCCTTGCGCTTAAATGGGCTGTCACAGAGAAGCTTAGCGATTACCTCTATGGCATGCAGTTTACAGTTGTTACAGACAGCAATCCGTTGACCTACCTGTTAACTTCAGCAAAACTGGACGCTACCTCTTACAGGTGGCTCTCTGCTTTATCCACTTTCAGCTTGAAGATCATTTACAGATCTGGAAAGCAGAATGCTGATGCTGATGGCCTTTTACGCCGTCCACATCTTGAGGTGCCTGAAGACCCCACGTCCAGTAAAGAACGTGAACGGGTTCTAAAGTTCATCAAACGCCATCTTGACGGGGACCAGACAGTCATTGACCTTGCCACAGTGAAAGCGATTTGTGACCGTCAACTAGTGTTTGGCTCTTCAACTGTTGACTCGGCTCTTGCCCTTGTCCTCTCCATGACGACAAACCCAGATAGCCTACCTGACAGCTTTTCCGATGACGCTCAGTTCGCCTCCTCGGTGGTCCCTTTGTCCTCTCCTGCTGATCTCGCCGCAAAGCAGCGATCTGATCCAATCATTCGGCATGTGATTGCGCAGAAAGAACGAGGGGAATCACTGCCACCTTCTCTGCGAAAACAACTCCCAGAATTGCCCTTTCTTTTGAGGGAAGTTAACAGAATGACATTCCGAAACAACCTTCTAGTGAGAAGGAGGCAGGTTGGGAGTTTCGTTGTTTACCAATTGGTGTTGCTGGAAGAATGTCGCGATGCTGTTCTGTCCCAGCTACATGACCAAATGGGCCATCTTGGAATAGAGAGGACATTAGATCTGGTCCGGTCCAGGTTCTTTTGGCCAAAGATGGCTGCGGACATCCATAGAAAGATCAGAACTTGTGATCGTTGTGTGAAGCGTAAGACCTTACCAGAGAGGGCTGGTTAGGACATCACGGCCACTAGAGCTTGTTTGCATGGATTTCTTATCTCTGGAGCCTGATCGTCGAGTGAAGGATATACTTGTGCTCACTGATCATTTCACGAAGTATGCCGTTGCAGTGCCTACTCCAAATCAGAAAGCCCGCACTGTCGCCAAGTGTCTTTGGGAGCATGTCTTTGTCTATTATGGCATCCCGGAGCGGTTGCACAGTGATCAGGGCCCTGACTTTGAATCACGGACCATAAAGGAGCTGTGTGGCATTGCTGGTATCGAGAAGGGAAGGACTACTCCATACCACCACAGGGGAAATCCTGTTGAAAGGTTTAATCGTACCCTGTTGAACATGCTGGGGACATTAACGGAGGATAAAAAGTGAGAGAGTTTGTTAAACCCCTCGTACATGCATATAACTGCACTAAAAATGACGTGACTGGATATTCACCTTATGAGTTGATGTTCGGTCGCCAACCACGCTTACCTGTTGATTTAGCTTTCGGACTACCCTTGAGGGACGTCGTTTCGACGTCCCATTCACAGTATGTCCAGGATCTGAAGGACCATCTGAAGGAGAGCTACCAAATGGCCATTGCGAATTCCGAAAAGGAGATGAGTCGCAACAAGTCCATATTTGATCGTCGCGTTTCTCCTTCTGAACTGGCTGTTGGTGATAGGGTGCTTGTAAGAAATGTTCGCTTGAGAGGGAAACATAAGCTGGCTGACAAGTGGGAGTCTGATGTCTATGTGGTGGTGAAGAAAGCTGGTGACCTCCCTGTGTTTACGGTTAAACCCGAATGTCGGGAGAAGCCTCTAAGAACCCTGCACAGAGATCTCTTGTTGCCCTGTGGTTACTTATCGGGTACTGTCAAACGTCTTCCTGTGACAAAGAAGACACATGCCATCTTGTCGGATCTCGAACCCGGACTTGTCGAGGACGGTCAATCAGAGGATGAGTATGTGACGGATACCTCTGACCGACTGGTTGTTGGCCCTGTGAACTTCGCCCACACTAGGGTTGTCGACAAGCCAGCGATTCCCCTGCCAACTGGTGACCACCCTCAAGCGTCTCCATGCTCCTTTGTTCCCCCTGTCCCACCGGTGGCTCCATTGGCTATGGACAAGCCTCCATGTTCCGCTGCTTTCTCCTTTCCACCAGTGGTTCCACCAGCTATGGATGAGGAGCAGGTGGATGAGGAGCAGGTGGATGAGGAGCAGGTGGATGAGGAGCAGGTGGATGAGGGGCAGGTGGATGAGGAGCATCTTCTGATTGCTTCAGAGGAGCTGAGTCCAGTGGAGATTGAGGAGCGCGGGCCAGGACTAGGCGACCTTCAGGTTGGTGCCTTGCCGGTCGATGATCGCTTTGCTTCTGATTCGCCAGTGTCTGAACTGGACAGTGAACGCTCTCCCGGTGTGCTGTCTTCTGTTGCATGTGTGCCTGACAGTCCGGACTGTGATCCTCCTCCCCGTCAGTCGACTCGCGCACGCCGGCCGCCTGATCGCCTCCTGTACGACAAGCCTGGTAACCCGCTGCTTAAGAGCATACAATCCCTGTTTCATGGCTTGAGTACAGCTTTCTCCTATGTCCTAGAAGAAGGGGGTGATGGTGATGTAATTCCACCCGCCTTCCAAACAGTCTGCAGCCAGCCTGCCCCATGTCCGGGGACGTTCATGGATTCAGTGGGGGAGACTGTAACCCACTTAGTCTAGCACGGTAACCCACGTAGTTTAGCTTAGTTGTAATCCCGCGTGACCCACGCAGCTACCGGACGTGATGCTTTAACCTGGCGCTGCCCCCTGTCCTCCCCCCTCTCATGGTGCTGCACTCACTGTTGTGATGCTACTGCTGCTATTTGCTACCGCTACTATCCGCTGCTTTGCCTCGAGCTAGGACATCCCTCCTTCGCTCAGCGGTGAGTCCGTTTTACCCCGTTTTACTCTGATACTTGTTAAGAGTTTGATACGAGCGAGCATTAAGCACTCCATTAGATATACGTGCGGATATTAGCCGCTTTTCGGGCAGCACAAACGCCAGAGTGGAGTTTTGAATCCACGTAATGCAAATCGATTTACTGATTTATATTCTTTTGTTCCTGCCGGATCTTAGGTTAGGCCTTTATTAAGTTAAGGACACCTTGTGTTGTTTAAATCCGTCCTGGATATAATTAGAACGAATGGTTTTGGCGTGTATACTTGGTTTGGCCATGACTGTTTTGCATTGACCCCATGGTGACGATCATGAGTGAGATCTTTTGATTAATATTTGAATTCGTTGCGCAACTTTTGATTTGATTGATATTTAGAACATAGCTACATCTTTACTTAAAGTGCACTTAATTAATTATGTTAATAATGAACTATGTTTAATAATGTATTATGTTTACAAACCCCATTGTAGATTGTTATATTTCTTCATTGTTATGTGTGTGTATAGAGCTTTGGGTTTTACTATGAGTCATAATTTGGGTTTTTTCCTTTGACCTCGTGTAGGTCAGGTTTTTTCACCCCTCCCTTTACCCCTCCTCGTGGACTATGATGGCGAGCTAAGAGCCCCCACCTCATGGTAGGAGATCGACGTCTGTTTGTTCCTGATGTAAAAAAAGGAACTGGATTCGTTGCTGGATTTACAAATAACTTTGGGATATTACAAACGTTTTGGATTTACAAATAACTTTTGGATATTACAAATAACTTCCGGATAGTGAAATGATTCGACCAAACGGAACTTGTATAGAACTGTATAGAAAGAACTACTCATAGGACACGAGTTGCCTGTTTTGTTTTGTTTGTTTAACACATTCATTCGTTTCCTCAAAGTTGTTTTGTTTTGAATCCTGCATATTTGGTTATTTTTTTTCCTCATTGTCATTGAGGGCACCTACTCATATAATAAGAATACATAATTCAAATCAACCATTTGCTTCTTTCCTTTTTCATTCACTCTATGGCTCCCCTCCGAACCAGTTTTCTGGTCAGTTAAGCACTTGTTCCGCAGTCACCCGACCTAGCCCGAAAGAGCGTTACACGGAGGTGTGAGTTGAAAGTCCGTCTGACAGGGGGCTCACCAAGACGTTCCCAGCAAACTCTCACTACACGCTTGGGTCTGCCAGGTCTGACCGGCTTCTTCCCCTGCCAGCGGATCCAACTCACGACCAGGTGATGATCGGTTGACAGCTCCGCCCCTCTCTTCACCCGAGTGTCCGAGACACGCGGTCGAAGGTCAGATGATACGACAACAAAGTCGATCATCGACCTCCGGCCTAGGGTGTCCTGGTGCCACGTGCACTGGTGGACAACCTTGTGCTCGAACCTGGTGTTCGTGATGGACAAACTGTGACTGGCACAGAAGTCCAACAACTGAACACCGCTCGGGTTCAGATCAGGGGGGCCGCTCTTCCCGATCACCCCTCTCCAAGTGTCACTGGCGTTTCCCACATGGGCGTTGAAGTCCCCCAGGAGAATAACGGAGTCCCCGGGCGGTGCACTGTCCAGTACCCCTCCCAAGGACTCCAAGAAGGCCGGGTACTCTGCACTGCTGTTAGGCCCGTAGGCCGTCACAACAATGAGAGACTTGTCCCCCACCCGGAGGCGGAGGGACGCGACCCTCTCATTCACCGGGGAGAACTCCAACACGTGGCGGCTGAGATGGGGGGCAATGAGAATGGCCACCCCAGCTCGCCGCCTCTCCCCGCGGGAGACTCCAGAAAAGTGGAGCGTCCAACCCCTCTCAAGGAGTTGGGTTCCAGAGCCCAAGCTGTGTGTGGAGGTGAGACTACCTCTAGTCGGTATCGCTCAACCTCCCCCACGAGCTCGGGCTCCTTCCCCCCCAGTGAGGTGACGTTCCACGTCCCAACAGCCAGATGTTGGGTGTGTGGACTGGGTCGCCGAGGTCTCCGCCTTCGACTGCCGCCCAGTCATCTCAGCACCGCGCCACCACGGACCCCTCTGCAGGTGGTGGGCCCACAGGAGGGACTGCCCACGTCATCCCTTCGGGCTGAGCCCGGCCGGGCCCCGTGGGCTAAGGCCCGTTTACCAGGCGCTCACGTATGAGCCCCAACCCCAGGCCTGGCTCCACGGTCGGTCCCCGGCTGCGCCATGCCGGGCGACGTCAGTGTTGTCATATTTGTGCTGTCCATGGTGTCTTCTGGACTGCTCTTCGTCTGACTCGTCACCCGAGACCTGTCTGCCATGGGAGACCCTACCAGGGGCATGAAGCCCCAGACAGCATAGCTCCCAGGATCATCAGAGTACTCAAACTCCCCCACCACGTTAAGGTGGCAGTCCAGGGGGGAGCCCCAAAGATACTAACCCCAAAGATACTAACCCCAAAGATACTAACTCCAAAGATACTAACCCCAAAGATACTAACCCCAAAGATACTAACCCCAAAGATACTAACCCCAAAGATACTAACCCCAAAGATACTAAACCCCAAAGATACTAACCCCAAAGATACTAAACATCTGCATGTTTGCTTAAATATTCTATTGCCAAAATATGAAAACAAAATTAAAATATCATAATAAAGTATAATTAGTCTGTATAAGTAAGTATTGTAGCTTTTCACTGTTAATAAACTTATTATTAGACATTTTGGCACGACACAGGAAGTCTGAAATCTACTCTTAGTGACGCTAGAGTCAGAGTTGTTGTACTCATTTACTAAAGATGGAGTTAAAATACAATACAATACAATCCAATGTATTGTTGTATAGCCCTAGGTCACAACAGAAGTCATCTCAGAGACTTAACAAAACCATTGAAATCACCAACACAGGTCAGAGAATCAACAGTTAAAACACATGAAGAATATAAAGCACACACAGAAGAAAATGTCCATACATGTTGTAGAATGCTAAAGTGTCCTGATCATCACCAATCCTTTCTGTTGGACACTAACTGTCCAACAAGACCCTCCTGCATCCACAAGGAACAACTCTTAAATTTTTTTTATACTAGTTCATTTTTGATAATGTTTATTTTATTTAGTTTATTATAGAGTTATGGTTCTTTTATCTTGTGGGCTCCTCATTCTACTGTTGTGAAACTGCTGTGGTGCACAAATGTATAGTTCTCAAACAGTTTATAGTCTCCCGTGTTTTATATTCAGATGTCCGTGGGTGGCGCTGGTGTTGTAATAATCTGTGGTCATGTTAATCTCTATAATTCAGATTAGATCAGGTCCATGGTCCATCTGGAGCTAACGAGTGTCACTGATCTGCGACCTCTGCCTCCTGTAATCCACACCGCTCATTTACTGCTGCACTTCACATTACTCAGAGTTTCTCAGAGTTTCTCCCATTTTCACTGTACACTGTACCATTCCACAGGGTCATACAGGCATTTTGGCACACATGGAAGAGGGAGACAGAGGAGAGGAGGGGGAGGGAGAGACAGAGGAGAGGAGGGGGGAGGGAGGGGGGAGAGAGAGACAGAGGAGGGGAGGGAGGGGGAGAGAGAGACAGAGGAGAGGAGGGGGAGGGAGGGGGAGAGAGAGAGGAGAGGAGGGGGGAGGGTGGGGGAGAGAGAGAGAGAGACAGGGGAGAGAGAGAGATAGAGGGACAGAGAGAGAGAGAGAGAGAGAGAACGACAGAGAGAGAGAGAGAGAGAACGACAGAGAGAGAGAGAACGACAGAGAGAGAGAGAGAGAGAGAGAGAGAGAACGACAGAGAGACAGAGAGAGAGAGAGAACGACAGAGAGAGAGAGAGAGAGAGAGAGAGAGAGAGAGAACGACAGAGAGAGAGAGAGAGAGAGAGAGAGAGAACGACAGAGAGACAGAGAGAGAGAGAGAACGACAGAGAGAGAGAGAGAGAGAGAGAACGACAGAGAGAGAGAGAGAGAGAGAGAGAGAGAGAACGACAGAGAGACAGAGAGAGAGAGAGAACGACAGAGAGAGAGAGAGAGAGAGAGAGAGAGAACGACAGAGAGACAGAGAGAGAGAGAGAACGACAGAGAGAGAGAGAGAGAGAGAACGACAGAGAGAGAGAGAGAGAGAGAGAACGACAGAGAGACAGAGAGAGAGAGAGAACGACAGAGAGAGAGAGAGAGAGAGAGAGAGAGAACGACAGAGAGACAGAGAGAGAGAGAGAACGACAGAGAGAGAGAGAGAGAGAGAGAGAGAGAGAACGACAGAGAGACAGAGAGAGAGAGAGAACGACAGAGAGAGAGAGAGAGAGAGAGAACGACAGAGAGAGAGAGAGAGAGAGAGAACGACAGAGAGAGAGAGAGAGAGAGAGAGAGAGAGAACGACAGAGAGACAGAGAGAGAGAGAGAACGACAGAGAGAGAGAGAGAGAACGACAGAGAGACAGAGAGAGAGAGAGAACGACAGAGAGAGAGAGAGAGAGAGAACGACAGAGAGAGAGAGAGAGAGAGACAGAGAGAGAGAGAGAGAGAGAGAGAGGAGGATTAGAGTGGCCGGGGCACATCTGTCCACAGCTGCAACAGTCTAAGGAGCTTAAACCATAATCACAGTGAGACACTATGAGGAGCATTACATCACAACTGGGCCACGTTCACCACACAATCCACTGAGACACATGCAGTATGTGGTCCAAGGATGTGTGCCAGACTGGACCAGACTGGACCAGACTGGACTGGACTGGACTGAGGTGGGCCGAATGGAGGCCACGGTCACATCCTCTACAGAGATTGTTCTTGTTCCTGTGGTATTTACTGCTCAGTGGTTAAGCTTCTTTTGTTGTTTGGTAAATCTGTCACACATTGTTAGACTGTTTTTACATTCACTCAGTCTTAGGCAAGTTTATTTGTATAGCACAATTCATACACAAGGCAACTCAAAGTGCTGAACAAGACAGAAACAAGGAATTTAAAAAATCATGGTACGTTAAAGAGAAAGATAAAAATGTCTTTTTGTACTTTTGATACTTGCTACAATTGGTGAATGTAACTTGAACAACAGTAGAAACCGTTTGGAGGCTAAAGCTAACTGTTGTGTTGCTATGGCAACTATAGGACTAGTTTTTCTCTGGTGGAAAACCAAGCTGAACCAGGAACAGTCCAGAACCAGTCCATGCTAAACTCCGTCCTGGACACCTCTATGTGAAAGCCAGACCCTGTCAGACCTCTGAAGCTTAGCAGGGCAGGTCCTGGTTAGTACTGTGATGGGAGACCTCTGAGAACACTAGGTGCTGCGGCTATAAAGTGCCAAACTGTGGTTGTGTCCTTAGGCAAGACACTTCCCCCACATTAGAATGAGTCTGGTGTGTGTGTGAATGGTTGGTGGTGTCAGTGTGCCCCAGGGCAGCTGTGGCTACAGTAGTAGTTTATCACCACAGTGTTTGGAGAAATTCCTCTTCCAAAACTAAATACCATCATATTGAAATGTTAGAACTGTGTTAAAAATCTATTTATTGAAACAAAATCACACTGGTTTGGTGAATTAAACCTGACAGACAGCATTAACAGAGGGCGGGGCTGAAAGGTTTTGATGATAACACAGATACTACAGTGCCTTGCGAAAGTATTCGGCCCCCTTGAACCTTTCAACATTTCGCCACTATTCAGGCTTCAAACATAAAGATATTAAAAAAAAATTTTTTGTCAAGAATGAACAACAAGTGGGACACAATCGTGAAGTGGAACAAAATTTATTGGATAATTTAAACTTTTTTAACAAATAAATAACTGAAAAGTGGGGCGTGCAATATTATTCGGCCCCCTTGCGCTAATACTTTGTAGCGCCACCTTTTGCTGCAATTACAGCTGCAAGTCGCTTGGGGTATGTCTCTATCAGTTTTGCACATCGAAAGACTGGAATTCTTGCCCATTCTTCCTTGCAAAACAGCTGGAGCTCAGTGAGGTTGGATGGAGAGCGTTTGTGAACAGCAGTCTTCAGCTCTTTCCACAGATTCTCGATTGGATTCAGGTCTGGACTTTGACTTGGCCATTCTAACACCTGGATACGTCTATTTGTGAACCATTCCATTGTAGATTTGGCTTTATGTTTTGGATCATTGTCCTGTTGGAAGATAAATCTCCGTCCCAGTCTCAGGTCTTTTGCAGACTCCAACAGGTTTTCTTCCAGAATGGTCCTGTATTTGGCTCCATCCATCTTCCCATCAATGTTAGCCATCTTCCCTGTCCCTGCTGAAGAAAAGCAGGCCCAAAGCATGATGCTGCCACCACCATGTTTGACAGTGGGGATGGTGTGTTCAGGGTGATGAGCTGTGTTGCTTTTACGCCAAACATATCGTTTTGCATTGTGGCCAAAAAGTTCCATTTTGGTTTCATCTGACCAGAGCACCTTCTTCCACATGTTTGGTGTGTCTCCCAGGTGGCTTGTGGCAAACTTTAAACCAGACTTTTTATGGATATCTTTGAGAAATGGCTTTTTTCTTGCCACTCTTCCATAAAGGCCAGATTTGTGCAGTGCACGACTGATTGTTGTCCTATGGACAGACTCTCCCACCTCAGCTGTAGTTATCTGCAGTTCATCCAGAGTGATCATGGGCCTCTTGGCTGCATCTCTGATCAGTCTTCTCCTTGTTTGAGATGAAAGTTTGGAGGGACGGCCGGGTCTTGGTAGATTTGCAGTGGTCTGATACTCCTTCCATTTCAATATAATTGCTTGCACAGTGCTCCTTGAGATGTTTAAAGCTTGGGAAATCTTTTTGTATCCAAATCCGGCTTTAAACTTCTCCACAACAGTATCTCGGACCTGCCTGGTGTGTTCCTTTGTCTTCATGGTTCTCTCTGCGCTTTAAACAGAACCCTGAGACTATCAAAGAGCAGGTGCATTTATACGGAGACTTGATTACACACAGGTGCATTCTATTTATCATCATCAGTCATTTAGGACAACATTGGATCATTCAAAGATCCTCACTGAACTTCTGGACTGAGTTTGCTGCACTGAAAGTAAAGGGGCCCAATAATATTGCACGCCCCACTTTTCAGTTTTTTATTTGTTAAAAAAGTTTAAATTATCCAATAAATTTTGTTCCACTCCACGATTGTGTCCCACTTGTTGTTGATTCATGACAAAAAATTAAAATGTTATATCTTTATGTTTGAAGCCTGAAATGTGGCAAAATGTTGAAAGGTTCAAGGGGGCCGAATACTTTCGCAAGGCAATGTATAGATAGATGGTTAGATAGATGGATATATACAGTAGATAGATAGATTGATAGATAGATAGATGGATAGATAGATGGATATATACAGTAGAGACAGTAGATGGATATATATAGATATATATATATATAGACTTAATGAAAGCCAAAGGGAATCCTACAGTGTGTATCTATAAACGACTTAACTCTAAACTTTAGCCTTTTTATATTTCCTTGTCTCTGTCCAAAGCGATCTCAGCTCCACGTTCAGCACATCCTTCCACATCTGCTCCAGATTTGCGTTTGTGAAAGAAGCAAATCCGCTTTTCTCAATTCCTGAAAAGCAGTTTTGGGAAAGCCCGAGGTTTCTGAGGTTTTCCGTGGCCAACTGTGACTGTCTCCTGTTTCATTCAGAGTCTGAGCGACGCAGTAATCTGTCTAAAAGTGGGATAAAGACTTGGCCCGTTCAGAGTCCAGCAGCAAAGAGGGATAGAGCAGACAGAGTCTGTGGATGTAGGACTCATGCAGGTGCCACAGTGGGGCGGCTGTAAAGTGCCAAACTGTGGTTGTGTCCTTAGGCAAGACACTTCCCCCACATTAGAATGAGTCTGGTGTGTGTGTGAATGGTTGGTGGTGGTGGGAGGGGCCGATGGCACAGACTGGTTGCCTCGCTTCTGTCAGTGTGCCCCAGGGCAGCTGTGGCTACAGTAGTAGTTTATCACCACCGTGTTTGGAGAGAGAGGATAATGACACATGTAAAGCGTCTTTGAGTGTCCAAAAAAAGCGCTATATAAAACCGATGCATTATTATTATTATTATTAAGTCCGGTCGTCTGGTCATTTAGAGCCTTTTAAACCCTTCACCTCAAGGTTAAGGATTAAACTCAGTAGAAAAGAAAACATCATAAACGAGGATTCAGATAAAATAGTGAAAGAAAAACAAACTATTTTGCTATTTTAGTTTTATTTTAGTGTTAAATCTTTTCGTTTCACATTCCTGTTTTTGAGTCTGTGTTTGTCACTAAATGTGGATTAAAAGAAGCTCTCTGCAGATGTGTGCAGCAGGTTTAGACCCACAGTGACTCAGTACGTTATCATGTATGTATTAATATTCTTTGTTGTTGTCTGTTGTGTGCAGTATGACGAGGCCCGGACCCTGGCCCAGACCGTGGTCTCCATGGGGGACCAGGCCGGGGAGTCCCTGCCCAGAGCCTACCTGGCCTTAGGACTCTGCTGCAGTCTGCAGGCCTCCGACGGTAACACAAGGAACAGATCCTTCTGGTTCTCATTCAGACTCTCTCCCCTTTCAAAGAGTTTGCATGTTCTCCCCGTGTCTGTGTAGGTTTCCTCCAGGTGCTCCGGTTTCCCCAACCACTAAAACATGTACAATAGGTCTGAGTGTAATGATGGTGTTTGGTCGGAGGCTTTGATGGTTCAGTGTGTTCTGGTCTCGCCTCTGTCGTCACCGTGTGGAGAGAATGGAACTATAACATTGTACGTGCTTTGACCATGGTCTATATAAATAAATATGACTTACTTCCACATTCAGCTGAAACTTCCAGAATGAGTGTAAAAAGACTTTCACAGTTGAACCTAAAGCTGGGAACCTTTTCTTTTTCATAAATAATACATGTAGTTTGTCCAAACAGTATATTTGTTTAGAATCGTACGAGTAGGTCTCATAGTTCTGTAGACGTTGTATATTTATTATTACATATTAATATATATATATATATATATATATATATATATATATATATATATATATATATATATGCACAGTATATGCAGTACATGTACAGTAGCTCAGTTGGTAGAGCATTGGCCTCTGAGCCTGAAGGTCATGGGTTCAAGCCCACCGTAAGACCTACTTCACGACTCCCACTGATGACTGCTGTCGTTGTGTCCTTGGGCAAGACACTTAACCCTACTTTGCCCAAAGCCCCCACTGAAAGATCTCAGCTCCTGTGGACTCAGCACCTGCAGGAGGATCAGTGAGGGGCTGGTGCTCTGTGGACTGGGAGCAGCTCTGGCCACCCCCCGACCCAGAAATGGATTAAGGGGAAGAAAATGGATGGATGGATGCAGTACATGATGTATTAACTGAAGACTGTTCCTTTTCAGCTGCTCTAAAATCCGACCGGGATCATTTCAACAAACGAGCTCTAAAGGTTCTACAGAAGTAAGTGATAAAGATTTTACGTTCACATTTAAAATAACATTAGAAAGGTTTAAAACTTTGTGAAAAAACAGATCTATTTTAGTGCCATACATATAAAGTGTTACTCCTTAAGGAGCAAAGTTATGGCCAATAACAACAATAACAAACCTGTTGAATATTGTAGCCACAGAAATACAACACCGCAAACATCTGAAACATTATAATCATTGAATCCTTCTAGTGTTACAGTAGATAAACTATAACTGATATCTATCTATCTATCTATATATATATATATATATATATATATATATATATATATATATATATATATATATATATATATATACATATATATATATATATATATATACTGTATATATACTGTAACTGTATGAATAAAGAACCTGTGTTTGCAGAGCTCACTCTCTGGACCCGCAGGACTCACAGATCCTGATGTACTTGTCTCTGCAGCTGGCCCTGGTCCGTCAGGTACAAACTCATTCTATTTATTTAAACCTGTCCTTTTCTGACGTTTATCACTGAGTTTGGAGTAGATAATAACATGTGTCTAAAAACACTATATTAAAGCTGCATTACCTGACTTTATGTTTGTACTCATGAGTTAAATCCAGTCCATGTCCATGCAGTGCATTGGGACATACGTCCTTACATATACTGTAGTATAGAAAAGTATAGGTTTGTGCTGGAGTCATTTTATTTTAGATCGAGTTTTGGTGAAACAAGGAAGAGAAAGTGTTTTGGGTCCAGATTGTGACCAATCACAGCGGACCACCGGCCCCCACTTTCTTGAGAAAAGTCACAGGTCTGTGGTTAGCACAGACAGGTCTGTGGTTAGCACAGACAGCTGAGGTAAACAAGCGGCGGAGGCTAACCTGAAGCTTCTGTGTCTTTGTTACCGGTTACTGCTTACTCAGAGAAACAGACAAAAGAAAGTCTTGTCTTCCGCACTTCCTGGTTCTATCGTTCAGATTCAGATTCAGATTCATTTTTTTGCCATTTGCAGTAAAACCACATTGGAAAAACTGTGCAAGACTACCCCGGTGTGCACCAGACAGAGGAGACGACACACAACAGAGCTCTTGCCACGGCGCCATCTTTACGGCGCCATGCGACAAACAGTAGAATAAACAGCAGAGAGCAGTAACATACAGTTTCACAGACAGTTGGATAGACACATTGTGCCTTGTATAAAGCACGGATTTTTTTCTCGGGATGAGCACCTCCGCAGCCGGCCCAATGTGGCTGTCAGAGGGGGGCGGGGTCAGGGAGGGGGTGAGTCGGAAACACAGTGAGGAGTGGAGGGGAGGGAGGGAGCAAGATGGATAGAGGGAGGCGGGGGAGACGGGATCCGAGCTGGAGACTGAAGTGTGAGATTGTTGTAGATGGGACCTTTGTTATTATGGCCTTGGCCCGAGGAATGTGAGATAAGAGTGGAGAGAAGACACAGGAGGAGAAAACACATCGCCTCAGGGGGACAATATTCAATGCAATGTCAGGCAGATATTCGATTAAATCCAATTAAACCGAATTGCGGCGCCCTCAGACCCCGTACACAGGGGCCAATCCAAGCCGGGTCAGAGAGTTCAAGCCTGGCAAACAATGTCATTCAATCTCAACTCCAGAGTCTTATGTCCATCGAGTGAACGAGCGGCGAGATCTTTTATCAACTGTTCCACTAACACCACTCTCCTTTGTCCAGCCACAGCACTCTCAACCACGACGCGGTTAAGCTCCTTGTACATCCCATCAATTTTGTCGGCCAGCAGGTCGTGAATCTTGCGAACTGCCATGCCTCCGAATTTATGGTAGAATAGAACCGCTCCAATCCCAAACAGGAGGATTCCCACCACCAAAAAGCCAAAGATATATACGTTTTCCGAATCTTCAATGGACAGGGTCGACAGACAGAGGGGCTGAAACTTGTTCCAGCTGTCAAGAGTATACCCCGCTGGTGAGGTCCCGTCCGGGCACACGGGCTCTCCAGACCCACGCTTACGTGTTGAAAAGATAGAATCAATTGCGTTGAGGGACCAATTAATCATTTCCATTCTGTTAAAGTTGTCTGTGGCAAAACTCCAGGAAAGAGACAAAAACAGGAGATAGCAGCAGTCAGAAGCAGGAGCGTCTGAGACACGTCTTTGCTCGACGGAGGCGGAAGAATCAACGCGGCGTTCTATGGTCACGCCACGTTCAGATGTGTCCCTGTGAGACGTGCGCTCCGTAAACAGCACATGTGCGGCTGAGGGGGTGATAGCTCCATGAGTGTGGGGAGGGGGAGCAGAAAGAGCGAGGCCAGCGCTCACATTCAAAAATGTCTCAAAGTGAGTTAGTGCAGCTTTAAGACAATGTATATTTTATTATTGAATGTTGATAATGTAAGTAATGTTTATTTCTACAGTTGAATCTCTGTTTAAAAATGTGAAAATAGAGTATTTTATCTCATAATGTACGGCATCAGTGCCTAACGTGTGATGTCATCATGCACTGCCTTGTGTGGAGCTCTTGTTCCTAATTAAAACATGCTTTATAAAAGGTTTAGGAGCTTTCTCAGGGTTGTTCAGGTTTGTATGAAATGGAAACATAGATATCTGAAACATTATTTATTTAAATTTATAAAAACTCTTATTACAAACATTTATGGAGATCTCAAACTGGAGCGGAGCAGCAAGAGCAGGACGTCTCTGCTCCACTCCTTTCCAACATTTTAGTTTTCCGATCTTATTATTCTTATTTTTCCTCATTTTCTCACTCTCTGCTGCATTATTGGTGCAAAGCTCTCATGTGTAATCCACATTATCAAACCCTAACATCGTCAAAGAGCAGAAAGTCATTCTGTGGTTGATGGTCTTAGGTCTCGGCCTCCATGGAGCCGCTGCAGAGGGCCTTGTGTCTTCGTGGAGAGGACTTGAACTCACTCCATCTGTTGGTTCTTGTGCTCAGCGCCCAGAAGCACCACAGACACGCCCTGGACACCGCCACCCTCGCCCTGAGCCAACACCCCGACAACTTCAAGTAAGACCAGCTCTCATTGATACTGCTGTGTGTGCTCTAGATGGACAAGGCTAATGGACAAAGCTAACCCGCTAGCCCAATAACGCCCAATAGGGAAGTGCTCATGGACAAGGTTTTTTCTCCAACTCTCTGGCTCCTGTCGACTCTATCTCTCTAACTGTATGTGTCACTCTCACCATTTTCAATCCATTCATCTTGTGTGGCCCTAAATCACTACAGTAGTTTATCGGAGGACTTTATAAAACCGTTGAATTCACCAACACAGATCAGAAAATCAAAAAGTTAAAATACAAGAAGTCCATAAGGGGCAGAGACCAATGTCCATTCCTGGTGTGGTTGTGCTGACCATCTGCCTTGTAGTCCTACTCCCCCTCCTCACTCCCCCTCCTCACCGGGGGAGTGATCCTGGTGTTTTTAGGTGAATACTGTTTTGTACATCCAGATATGAGTCATAAGGATTGACCAATCAGAAGCCTTCATTTGTGGGGGAAATGACAGCTACACGGGGAGAACACACAAAGTCCCCTCAGAAAGGCCTTGTTCCGACCGGGATTCGAACCCAGAACCTTCTTGCTGAGACGCGAGAGCGCTAACCACTCAGCCACCGTGTCCCAGTTGGTGGTCGATGATGTAGGTGTTGAGGTGATGATGGGAGGAGGGGGGTTGTGGCACGATGTGAAAGATGTACTTTACTACATATACTTTACTACATATACTTTACTACATATACTTTACTACATATACTTTACTACATATACTTTACTGCATGTACTTTATTGCATGTACTTTATTGCATGAACTTTACTACATATACTTTACTACATATACTTTACTGCATGTACTTTACTACATATACTTTACTACCTATACTTTACTGCATGTAATTTATTGCATGAACTTTACTACATATACTTTACTACCTATACTTTACTGCATGTAATTTATTGCATGAACTTTACTACATATACTTTACTGCATGTACTTTACTGCATATACTTTACTACATGTACTTTACTACATATACTTTACTGCATGAACTTTACTGCATATACTTTACTACATATACTTTTACTACATGTACTTTACTACATATACTTAACTGCATATACATTACTCACAACCTTATATACACACTTATATACACACACTTTTATACACACACTTATATACACACACTTATACACACTTATATACACACTTTTATACACACACTTATATACACACACTTATACACACTTATATACACACTTTTATACACACACTTATATACAGCCACATCTTTCCCATGCTAATGCTAATGCTAATGCAAAGTTAGCTCATGCATTCGTTTCCACACAGCTCCATCTCTTTCCTGCTTCACAGCCACTTGTTTTATTACAGCCATTTCAGATCAGACATTTTTATTTATTGTTATTTAACCATTATTTAAGCAGCAAAGTCCCATTGAGATTAAGAACCTCTTTTCCACGGGAGTCCTGGTTACACACAGTTACACACAGTTACACACAGTTATACAAACATGACTCCTGCAGCATGTGTGTGACTGCACTTTGCATTCCCCACACTTGGTCTAGTTCTCACTCACACCTGATTCTTACTTTTCATGCTGTAAATCAGTGGAAATCAGGTTAAGTGTGGGTCTTAAACTGCAGCTAGCGTAGCCTCGGAGCTAGTTTTTGTATTTGGTCAACATGCGTGAGTGATGTGTCTGTGTTTTTAAGTTTCTCCTTGGACTGCTGCAGCTGGAGCCTCTCTCCTCGCTCCGCAGGGATTGGGTGTCGTAGCTTATCTCTCTCCCTCCTCTCTCTCTCACTCACACACACACACACACACACACACACACACACACACACACACACACACACACACACACACACACACAGCCTTATTTAGACGTGCCAGTGGAGTCTGCATTGCGGTTCCTCAGTGACTTTGACCCCACAAACTCCTGTTGGCCTGAGGGGAGTTTGGATCGAGTCCCAGTGTTCAGAGACCTGTCTGCTGACTATGATGTTATTGTTGTATTATTGCTAAGTATCTTATAGGCAGATCTTTACCCTAATTTCATGGTTGTACATTTTGAGATTTGGTTTTGAACTGACTGATATATAGTTGCCGGAGATCTTGCCAAAGGTCCATTATTGGTGTTGCTACAATGATTTAGAGTGATTTATGATTATTTACAATGATTCTTAATGATTTGTAGTGAGCCAGGGCTAACACTGAGAGGCCTGGAGTGAGTCAGCAGGTAATGTTGGGATGCATTTTGACTTTAAATGTATGTTTAAATGTAAATGTAAGCTCTGTGGGAACTTATGAATGGAGTTGGGGCGGGATGCATAGTTTAGTGAAAAAGATAAAAACATGTATAATTTGGTGTTCGCAGAGGTTCATACTGGGTAGTTCTGAATGAGCAGGACATTCATAGAAATAAAATACTAGTGAGTACTTACAAAGTGTATCAGTCTGTTTATAACTTTACAGAAACAAAGCCTTCGCCACAAAAGCAATGGTTCAGAAAAGACTAGAACACCACAAAATATTTTCTGTAAAACTCCTGAAAAAATGAGTACTGGCTGCTGTGTAGTTTTGGCCTCTGACGACTCATTTACTCTGATAATAAGTGGGAACAGTCTTTGCACAGAGAAAGATCAAAGTCACCTACATGTTCTTTAGTGAATAAAAAGCATTTGAAATCTGGATTAACTTTGAACATTTGAATATCGTGATTGTTTTTGTTTGCACCTTATTTGTTATTCTGCGTATTGTCTTTGTTTCAGCTATAATCATTTTTATACTGTTATTTTTATATGTTCCCCTGGTTTCCCTTGTCCGCATTCACCACAAGCTCCTTCCACAAATTTAGTTTCTTTCGGTCGGTCACTTTTTGCTCCCTTGCATCATTTAAGTCCAACCTCATTGTTTACTTTACATTAGTCGTACAAATAGTTGTTGTCAGGGCGGGTCTGACGGAGAATGACCGACTCTGGGGTTTAACACTTCCCTTTTCACTGCTGAGGCAAATATAAGATGAGATTTAGAGACCTATAATAAAGCTAAGGTCAAAGCAGAAAAATAAATCCTTTATTTGCTCCTTTTTGGACATTGCAGCCATTTTAGTCAATTAATGAAATACAACCATCAAACTCCAGGGAATTATCCAAAAAGTGAATTATCCAAAAAGTGAATTATCCAAAAAGTGAATTATCCAAAAAGTGAATTATCCAAAAAGTGCTGAATCACTTATTTCCGGTCAAATAAAATATTATGGTCACATTTAATCGTTGACCACGTTCACAGGAATTAAGAAAATGGATAAATGTCCGGGACAATGGTAGTGATCCCAGAGCCTCAGGGGCGGATCTAGGGGGGGGGCTGTAATACCCTATTTGTTGTTAATTTGTATAATAACAAACAATGAAACATTCCTCACAAAAGTCTGCTCTAAAACATATAATACATACATAATAATGGGACACTGCTCTCACCTGTGTCGAGGAAGTGTAAAGTATGTAGTACTTTACTAATACTCAATGCTGTGGCTTTCAGTATGAACCGAGACCAGAGAAGGGTCTGTGAGGAAATAATAACTAAATTGTTACAAAATGTCTCCAGTCGTAATAACTGCAGAACAGCTGAGGGAGGAACAGGTAAAAGTCTGTGACCCTCAATGTTACGGCATTATCAGGGAATCGGCTTAAAGCTGCACAAACTCACTTTGTGAAATGTTTGAATGTGAGCGCTGGCCTCGCTCTTTCAGCTGTCTGTGCTAACCACAGACCTGTCTGTGCTAACCACAGACCTGTCTGTGCTAACCACAGACCTGTCTGTGCTAACCACAGACCTGTCTGTGCTAACCACAGACCTGTCTGTGCTAACCACAGACCTGTCTGTGCTAACCACAGACCTGTCCGTGCTAACCACAGACCTGTCCGTGCTAACCACAGACCTGTCCGTGCTAACCACAGACCTGTCTGTGCTAACCACAGACCTGTCTGTGCTAACCACAGACCTGTCTGTGCTAACCACAGACCTGTCTGTGCTAACCACAGACCTGTCTGTGCTAACCTCAGACCTGTCTGTGCTAACCACAGACCTCTGTCTGTGCTAACCACAGACCTGTCTGTGCTAACCACAGACCTGTCTGTGCTAACCACTGACCTGTCTGTGCTAACCACAGACCTGTCTGTGCTAACCACAGACCTGTCTGTGCTAACCACAGACCTGTCTGTGCTAACCACTGACCTGTCTGTGCTAACCACAGACCTGTCTGTGCTAACCACAGACCTGTCTGTGCTAACCACTGACCTGTCTGTGCTAACCACAGACCTGTCTGTGCTAACCACAGACCTGTCCGTGCTAACCACAGACCTGTCTGTGCTAACCACTGACCTGTCTGTGCTAACCACAGACCTGTCTGTGCTAACCACAGACCTGTGACTTTTCTCAAGAAAGTGGGGGGCAGTGGTCCGCTGTGATTGGTCACAATCTGGACCCAAAACACTTTCTCTTCCTTGTTTCACCAAAACTCGATCTAAAATAAAATGACTCCAGCACAAACCTATACTTTTCTATACTACAGTATATGTAAGGACGTATGTCCCAATGCACTGCATGGACATGGACTGGATTTAACTCATGAGTACAAACATAAAGTCAGGTAATGCAGCTTTAATTGATATAATTAAAAGCCATATTCCTAAATCAGCAGTGATTTACGAGACCATTATTGTATCAGTGCATTCCTAAAAACACCACACAGCTTTGCATTGGGCCCAAAATAGCTAGCTCCGCCCCTGGGAGCATTCGGTCCTTGGACTCAATTTCTAAGAAAAACACAAAATGTTTCAACGTTGCCGATCCTGAGTTAAAGTCACATATGATTTATTTAACCTTTATTTCATTGATATTTTATTAACGTAACGTAATTCACTCTAACTAATCTTTATGATACTGCTTGATTTAAGGACACGTTCCAACTCTCCGCTGTTGTTCACTGTACTTGGCTTGTCTGGGCACAGTGATACTAAACAATACTATGTTTCATTTGTTCATTTTAGACTTTTATGAGGATTCAAAATGGTCAAAGTCAATGATGATAATATAATGATCCAGGTTTGTTGTCGATCGTCTCTGTAAACGTTCTTTACCAGAGTCTCCACAGATCTGCGCCTCTTCTCACTGTTGCATCATCTTCCTCAAGTGTTTTCTCATCCTGCCAAAGCCCTGCAGTTCCCCAGGGCTGCCTTAAGGGGGCAGTCTTGGCCTCCACGCTCTCACCACAGGCAGCAGGAGGAAGAGAGAGAGCAGCGGTACAGAAAGACCAAGGGGGAGGGAAGGAGTGAGGACGGAGAAAAACAAGCAAATTGATGAAATACTAAACGTGAGGAGCTCAGAGACTGTGGGCGGAAGCAAGGACAACACAGCTGCTGCTACAGCTGCTACTGCTGCTACAGCTGCTACTGCTGCTGCTGCTACAGCTGCTACTACTGCTACAGCTGCTACTGCTACAGCTGCTACTGCTGCTGCTGCTACAGCTACTACTGCTGCTGCTGCTGCTACTACTGCTACAGCTGCTACTGCTACAGCTGCTACTGCTGCTGCTGCTGCTGCTACTACTGCTACAGCTGCTGCTACAGCTACAGCTGCTGCTGCTACTGCTACAGCTGCTACTGCTGCTACTGCTACAGCTGCTACAGCTGCTGCTGCTGCTACAGCTGCTGAAGCTGCTACGGCTGCTGCTGCTTCTGCTACAGCTGCTACTGCTACAGCTGCTACTGCTACAGCTGCTGCTGCCACAGTGGCTGCTGCTACTGCTACAGCTGCTTCTACAGCTGCTGCTACAGCTGCTGCTACAGCTGCTGCTGCTGTGTCTGTACCTGCACAATCACACACCAACCTCCTCAGAGACACTTGACTGCTTTGACCCATTTAAGAGCTCCTTTTCTCTCTCCTCCAATCACTGATCTGGATGCTCCAGGAATCCCCATCGCCGTAGTAACCATGAGGTCATGTGGGCAGAGCCCTCGGTGTTGTTGGCAGACTGTTGTTATGGAGCAAAGGGAAGCAAAGGGATGTATATGGAAGAGTAAACTGGGAGAGTGTGAATGCTTGTGTAGCTTCTCTCAGTCCTGATGTGTGCAGTGATTTGAATGGATTGATTTCATGCTGAATGCTCATCTCTGAGCAGAGAGTTCACTGTGTGTGGGACTGAAGTCTAACTAGATCATTAAAGGAGACATACTATGCCCTGTTTTAGGCCGTTCAAGGAAAGGACACCATGTACTTTTTCATGTACAAATGATGCTGGAACAAGCAGCTCCCTCTGCTATCACCCGGGCGGTTTCAGCAGCAGCAAACACAGCCATGCGATAGTAAAGGAAGTAACGGTTTTGCTAAAACGTTCATAATTAAACTGTTCTCTTAGTCATACACTGTGGCTTAGGTTTCTTCTTCAGGCTGCAATACTTTATTGTCCTCATATTTTCATTATCCTGTGCATTTGACCCAGCCTTCAGTGGTCTCCTTCGTACAGCACCCGGGGGTCCATCTCCAGACACTGGTGCTGCTGATCCGGACCAGAGCTGGAGGAGTTTACTTCTTGTCTGTGTTTTTAGTGGTATAAACTCTGCAACCACTAGGTTAAAGCCTCCAGCTCCGGTCCTGACCAAACCGAGCGCTGTTACTACGGCGACCACTGCCCCTGATGTAAGCCTTATTAGCGGCATCAGGATGGGTCAAATGCAGAGGATTGAATTGACCTACGGGGATTAATAAAGTGCCCCTTTACCAGAAGACTCCAACACACACACACACACACACACACACACACACACACACACACACACACACACACACACACACACACACACACACACACACACACACACACACACACACACACACACACACACTCCTCTCAGAAAGGCAGAGTGGGCTGTGAACTCAGCACCTTGCGTAGAGGCGAGAGTGCTAACCACTCAGCCACCATGCAGCCCGTTCATTTGAATTTAAGGTGTTTGCTCCAAAGTAAGTAAGTTTTTATTTATATACCGCCTTTTCACTGCAGATCTGAGCCTCAAAGCGGTTTACAATTGTTAATTTTGGGCATTTGTCTCTCACTCCACACAGAGATGGGAGCGGGGTCGCCAGTACAGGAGGCGCATGCCAGAACTATTGGACATATTTTTAGTGGTAGGGGAAACCGGAGTACCCGGAGGAAACCTACGCAGACACGGGGAGAACATGCAAACTCCACTCAGAAAGGCCCTGGTCCGACCGGGATTCGAACCCAGGACCTTCTTGCTGAGAGGCGAGAGTGCTATCCACTCAGCCACCGTGCCACCGTGCCAAACATTTGGTAGAAAAGGTTGGACAGAAATATCCTAATGAGATATTGTGCCGGCCTCAAAATGTAATTAAATTCATTGAATATTATAGTATTAAATATTATATTAATACATATTATAGTATTAAATATTATAGTATTAATATAGTAATATATATTAAAGTATTTAATATTATAGTATTAATATAGTAATATATATTAAAGTATTTAATATTATAGCTCTGTACCTGACTTGAACTCTGCTCTTTGGGGAATTGTGAGATTTCATAACACTTTGAAGCAACTTTTGTTAAAGTTAAACTCATCATTCTATCAATGTGCAGAAGCCAGTACTTTTCCCTTGTTTTGTCTATATGAAGGCCAAGCTACATGGCACCGTGGCAGCTGCTGATTGGAGGTCTCCATGCCTCCGCTCTGTATAATACACTTGCATTCTCTTGTATCTGTGATTGTGTGCTTTGTTCGTGCTGTCTCTACCATCGACAATAAAACATGTCTTCTGTCGGAATGAAAGACGCGATCCCAGACTTTGTCATCTTCTTCAGAATGAACATGAATGAGTGAATGCTAGTGTGAAAAACCACAGTTGTCTGGACATCAGACACACAGACATTTTACAGACTGGCCCGGTCCGGGTCTCTCGCTAGATGTAAAGCAAAAGACCATGAATGAAGGAGGCGCAGCTCCTTAAAGCGTCATGGATTGGTCAAGTCACAGGACACAGGATGTCATCAATACACATGTCATTTAATAATCTTGTAGACCAGTCCCGAGTCTGAGCCTGAGGGTCTCACTACAGGCTGTTATTGTCCTTCTAGACGTCCACAGTCCCATTGACCCCAGAGAACGGTGAAGTCAGCAGTCTCCAACGTCACATTGGCCTTAGATAAGTGATCTCCTGCCATTGAGTGCTGAACTGGTCCCAAACCCATTCTATATGAAAACCCATACATTTATTAATATGCTAATAAACCTATTTCCCATTTGCTAACAGCTAGGCTACTGCATTAGCACTCATCAGGGTTCATCAGGGTTCATCAGGGTTCGTCAGGGTTCATCAGGGCCCATCAGGGCCCAAGAGTAAACACCAGGACACAGGACTAAACATAGATGAAGTCTCCCCTGATAACATGCTCCTATAACAGCAGTTCATCCTGAAGTGATTGGTTAAAGCTGGAATCAGAAGCATCTGAACCTTAGTACAGTCTCCTCTGGTTAGTGTAGTCTCCTCTGGTTAGTACAGTCTCCTCTGGTTAGTGTAGTCTCCTCTGGTTAGTGTAGTCTCCTCTGGTTAGTGTAGTCTCCTCTGGTTAGTGTAGTCTCCTCTGGTTAGTGTAGTCTCCTCTGGTTAGTGCAGTCTCCTCTGGTTAGTGCAGTTTCTTCTGGTTAGTACAGTCTCCTCTGGTTAGTGTAGTCTCCTCTGGTTAGTGTAGTCTCCTCTGGTTAGTACAGTCTCCTCTGGTTAGTGTAGTCTCCTCTGGTTAGTGTAGTCTCCTCTGGTTAGTGCAGTCTCCTCTGGTTAGTGCAGTTTCTTCTGGTTAGTACAGTCTCCTCTGGTTAGTACAGTCTCCTCTGGTTAGTGTAGTCTCCTCTGGTTAGTACAGTCTCCTCTGGTTAGTACAGTCTCCTCTGGTTAGTACAGTCTCTTCTGGTTAGTACAGTCTCCTCTGGTTAGTACAGTCTCTTCTGGTTAGTACAGTCTCCTCTGGTTAGTACAGTCTCCTCTGGTTAGTACAGTCTCCTCTGGTTAGTACAGTCTCCTCTGGTTAGTACAGTCTCCTCTGGTTAGTGCAGTCTCCTCTGGTTAGTACAGTCTCCTCTGGTTAGTACAGTCTCCTCTGGTTAGTACAGTCTCCTCTGGTTAGTACAGTCTCCTCTGGTTAGTACAGTCTCCTCTGGTTAGTACAGTCTCCTCTGGTTAGTACAGTCTCCTCTGGTTAGTGTAGTCTCCTCTGGTTAGTACAGTCTCCTCTGGTTAGTACAGTCTCCTCTGGTTAGTGTAGTCTCCTCTGGTTAGTACAGTCTCCTCTGGTTAGTACAGTCTCCTCTGGTTAGTACAGTCTCCTCTGGTTAGTACAGTCTCCTCTGGTTA